TTAGATGCAGAAGGTTTTCACTTCTCTTCACGAAGATTGAATGTTTATTGGTCTGAATAAAGAACTGCTATAGCCTACTGCCATCACACGTTCACTCTTCTTTCAAACTACCCGCGTGTTCCATTGGCTGCTGTATTTAACATTCAGCAAACAAGAGCTTGCGTCCCTCTTCGAATAGTCTATTGGTCTAAGAAATGCAAAAATATTTTATGTCCAACAAGCTAAATCTAGTCTAGCTTTTCCTGCATGGGACTCCAAGAGCTAAGGATCATTTTAAGGAGAGAGGCCAGCGGAGCACAGGTGCGTGCATATTGCACAGGAGACAGATGCAATAAATTGGAAGCTTATAATGCATAACCCATCGTTAATGAGCTAAATATAAGGCTAACACTGCATTGAATGTATTACCTGAAAAAGGTAGGCTAGGACATCTATATAAAGGGCTGTATATCAATCTAGAACATGATTATCTATTATGGATGCAATTTGAATGGAGTTAATGGAGAGAGAGAGAGAGAGAGAGAGAGAGAGAGAGAGAGAGAGAGAGACTGCAAGAGTGCTCGCGCGTGCACTGATTTAAAGCAACGATCCGAGTGATAGGCTGTTTTAAAACTCTGCAGCTGTTTTGACCCCCGAAAGCCAGATGGAGATGGGTAAATTAGACGCGCATTCTGTCTATACATTACTGTAGCATAGACTATGCTTCAGCAAACACACAACCTGTCACAAGAAAAAACAATACCATGAGATGATAGGTCTACATGGATTTTGAACTGCGCTCCATACTGAGATGGGCTGTCTGTCCCCACCCTGAGCGTTGATGATTCATCATGCAGAGGCCGTAGAGAAGCCAGATTTAGACATCGCATATCATTTAACAGTTCCATTTCACGCCATGCTGTTCATATAAATAATTTACTATTATTTACCGGTTTCTCACAGCTACTTATCCTGGGAAAGGGGAGTGGTTTTGGGCGGTAAATCCCGGTAACCGGGCTCCCGCCATTCAACCCGACTTTGGACAGTGGAAGAAGAACTGCTGGTTTCAACGGCATATCAGGAAATTTTCGCTTTTTTTCCTATGGTGGGATTTTGGCTGTAGGCTATTAAAAGCAAGGTGAGATAGGTTATGTAAAACGTCCAGGTTTCAAACAATGATATGGCTGGCTTGGCATCGCATATGTAATTATTTAGGTTATGGAAATCTATAATATTAGAATATCATTCCAATGTTGGGCAAAAGCCGATTAGAATGCACATTTTACCCTCTTCCCAGCATGTCTGCGGGCCCATTGGCCCAGAGCTGAAATTTAATGTGCCAGGAGTTGCTGAGGCATTTGCATTGTCTGTAGGCTATGGCTAGCTATTATGGTAAAAATCGACCTGCCACAGTGGCTGGTGTACAAAAAAGTACATTTTTGGCTGCGGCCGTTAGCAAGTGGTGGCGCTCAAAAAGGTCAAGGCGACCATTCTTTAGTGACTGAAGAGGGAGGGTGAAGCAGAGAAAGTGAAGGCTTTATTGTATATTGTTATGTTGTTTAATTGGGCAGCTGGTGGTGGGAATGTAATGTCTAACTTAAGTTTATTCAGTAACCACTTCACAATAACACTGTTCTCTCTTAGATACATGTGGTTAGCGTGTTCAATTAATACATTTTAATTATTAATAATGTTTGTCTGTTTTCATTAAGACGCAAAAAGCTTTTCTTAAATTAAGTTTGTAATATAGACTGTCTGTATCGGTCTCACAAATACACCAATGACTTTGAAAGCACAGCAAATGACCTAGACCCATGTTGGCATATCAAAACATAAAACAAAATTGAAATGGTTCAAGTTCAATTTACGACAGTTGAAATTGCACTTCGGCACGGTGAGGAGTTAGTTCGTTTAGTCCTGTCCTCGTTTCTCAGTTGCAATGTAACTTGAGCATTACGATGACCGTGCCAGATGCATAGCTATTCATGAGCCAACTTTTTAAGAGTGTTTCCCAAACAAGCAAGTAGAGAGAACATTTGCTTAGTGCGTCGTTAGACCATGTGCCGATATTGATAGGATCGAAAGAAAAGCAGCGCTGCTCTCGGATCCGCTTTCTCCATTCAAATCTTACCTAGCATTAGATTTTTCCTCAATACTGACGACAGATCAGCTCCTAGAGACCGTACCTTCAGAAAGTATTCATACCCCTCGACTTAATCCACATTTCGTTGTGTTACAGCCCGAATTCAAAATTCACACAATATTCTTCAAGCTCTGTCAAGTTGGTTGACAGCCATTTTCAAGTCTTGTCATAGATGTTCAAGCCGTTTAAGCCAAAACTATAACTAGGCCACTCAGGAACATTCAATATCGTCTTGGTAAGCAACTCCAGTGTATATTTGGCCTTTTGTTTTAGGTTATTGTCCTACTAAAAGTTGAATTTGTCTCCCAGGTTTTCCTCTAGGATCTTGCCTGTGCTTAGCTCTATTCAGTTTATTTTTATCCTAAAAAACTCCATAGTCCTTGCCCATGACAACCATACCCATAACATGATGCAGCCACCACCATGCTTGAAAATATAAAGAGTAGTACTCAGTGATGTGTTGTTGGATTTGCTCCAAACATAACGCTTTGTATTCTGAACATAATGTTCATTTCTTTGCCACATATTTTGCAGTTTTACTTTAGTGCCTTATTGCAAACAGGATGCATGTTTTGATTATTTTTCTATTCTGTACAGTCTTCCTTCTATTCACTATATAATTTAGGTTAGTATTGTGGAACTACAATGTTGTTCATCCATCCTCAGTCTATCACAAACCATTAGACTCTGTTTTAAAGTTACCATTGGCCTCATGGTGAAATCCCTGAGCGGTTTCCTTCCTCTCCGGCAACTGAGTTAGGAAGGACGCCTGTATCTTTGTAGTGACTGGGTGTATTGATTCACCATGCTCAAAGGGATATTCAATCTCAGCCTTTTTTTTATTTATTTTTTTACCAATAGCTGCCCTTCTTTGTGGGGCATTGGACCTTACAGATAATTGTATGTGTGATGAGGTAGTCATTCAACAATCATGTTAACCACTCAGAGTCTAAGCCCTGTCTAAGCCGGGGAAGGGGGAGGTTCTACTAAGCTATATGGAATTGTTTTAAGGTCATACCAAGGATCATTTAGCCATTGGATTTTGAATTTTAAGACCCGTTGAAGTATCCCCCTCAAAAAATATACAAAATTATTTGATGAAACATACATTTTTGGTCTTACTGCTATTAGCCCATACAAATGCATTGAATAGCAGATTCACTACATGGAAAAGATAGTTCCCAAAAAATATCAAAAGGAAGTTTGTTCTGAAGTGTCTCTCCTATATCTGAGACAAAATAAATATCAAGAAACATGTTTATTTTTAGACATGTATTTAACCCCATATATACTTCCATTAATTTTTTCAACTGGTACCGAGGGACCTTCAGTCGAGTCTTGTATGGCCTGCACATGTTCGTGAGAGTCTCACCCTTGCACAGAATGGTCATACTAGTGTGTAGCCCAAACGGGTCGGACGCACAGACAGAAGTTGGCAGATTTGCTGTACCGACAGACAGAAGTTGGCAGATTGGCTTTACCGACTTCAGACGAGTCTCCTGACACTTGGAGGTCGTAGCGCAAAATAGAGAACACCATCGTGTTCGTGAGAGTCATCTTTCCATAATAGTTTGTAGACCAAACCGTTCGGACGCTACAACGATTTTGTGAGAAGACCGATTTATGGGATGTCTCATGGTCTGACAAACACCGCTCTAGCTCTGTCACCTTTCACCGCAGATGCGGACGTGCGACATAGGCGGATGTGGTGGATTGAGACACATCCAATACAAAAAAATATATCTCCTGCTTAAACTGATGGATATTTAATGGTGATTTTTTTATTATGCTGACTGATTTCCGCGGGGGCATGGAAATCGACTCTAGGGGGTTAAACACTATTATTGCAACTTATTATGTAACTTCAGCACATTTTTACTCCTAAACTAATTTAGGCTTGCCATAACAAAGCGGTTGAATACTTATTGACTCAAGATATTTCTTAAAATATTATTCCACTCTGACATTATGGGGTATTGTGTGTATTCTAGTCAGGCTGTAACAAGACATTTTGGAAAAAATCAAGGGGTGTGAATTCTTTCTCAAGGCACTGTATTACCACCTATGGCTGCAAATATTGAGGCAGCTTATTCTAAAAGCTCACCCTATAATAATAATACACTAAATCAAGATGCCACGTTACACATCATGAAATATATTGAGGCAATTAGCCTAGAATTAGCATACAATTGATTTCAATGTGATTTAAATATACAGGCCTACGAAGCCTATAGTGCATTGATCTTTTACAGTCATCTCAGTTTTCATTTGAAACATTGTTTTATTCTTTGCTTGTTTGTACCAATTGCAAAGACATTGGCAACGTTGTATTTTTTTGTCAACTTCGTTCTGAAGTTATCGGCCGTCATAGCGCGACAGATAAACCTCTTCATTCTGTGTTTAACTGAGATCTTCTGTGTATAAAGTGACTAGGAAGGGCAAAAAAGCATCATCTGAAGCAGTCGGTAAATAATGAACGCTTTCAAATGCAACTTTAGTAATAATGGTTTTGGGAAGCTACTAAAGATGCATGGTAAGACGGTTCTAAAACTGATCTTAATGCTACGAAGGCTCTGGGAATTGAGGCACAAGTAGTGCACTATATAGGGAATAAGGAGCCATTTGGGACACACCCAGGAAAATAACTACCTGAACCACACGCTTACATCAAGGTGATGGGCGAGGAATCATTTTACAAACCTAGCTTGCCGAAACCAAACGAAACAAGTTCAAATGAGCTGACTGTCAGCCAGACCGCATTAATCTATAGCAGGTGCTAGCTGCTAGCTTGCTGTAGAAGTGAGAGCACACGCTAAAATCAGTCCAAGCAGCGCATAATATACTAACATGTCTCCCATATTCACCAGGCTAATGAGCACTACGGCACCCTGCTGAGCTGACCCTCCTTCCCTCTCTCCGACTGTGCTGCGCTGCCTGAGTCTGTCTGGAGGGAGAGTCTAGGCCAAGCAGCCAGCCAGAAGCCAGTCAGGCCAGGACCTGAGTGCTGAGCCTCAGGGGGATCCCTCAGATGACCACTAATAGCTGTGTGAGAGTAGAGAGTGTAGTCCCGTGTAGCTCAGTTGGTAGAGCATGGCGCTTGCAACGCCAGGGTTGTGGGTTCGATTCCCACGGGGGGCCAGTATGAAAAATGTATGCACTCAGTAACTGTAAGTCGCTCTGGATAAGAGCGTCTGCTAAATGACTGAAATGTAAAAAAAAATTGAGGCAGGTCCAGTGTCAGAGACACCTAGCAACGGCCACGCCTGCCATACGGATCATCCTCTGGGGGTCTAGACAGACAACCTCTCTACACCCAGAGGGACAGGAATGGCTGCTATTTCAAAAGCAAAAAAAAGGCAGCTTCCTCACTGAACAGATATATATACAGTACCAGTCAAAGGTTTGGACACACCTACTCATTCCAGGGTTTTTCTTTATTTTTACTATTTTCTACATTGTAGAATAATAGTGAAGACATCAAAAGTATGATATAACACATATGGAATCATGTAGTAATCAAAGAAGTATTAAACAAATCAAAATATATTTTATATGAGATTCTTCAAAGTAGCTACCCTTTGCCTTGATGACAGCTTTGCACACTCTTGGCATTCTCTCAACCAGCTTCATGAGGTAGTCACCTGGAATGCATTTCAATTAACAGCTGTGCCATGTTAAAAGTTTAATTTCTGGAATTTCTTTTCTTCTTAATGCATTTGAGCCAATCAGTTGTGTTGTGACAAGGTAGGGGGGTATACAGAAGATAGCCATATTGGGTAAAAGACCAAGTCCATATTATGGCAAGAACAGTTCAAATAAGCAAAGAGAAACGACAGTCCATCATTACTTTAAGACATGATGGTCAGTCAATCCGGGAAAATGTCCAGAACTTTGAAAGTTTGTTCAAGTGCAGTCGCAAAAACCATCAAGCGCTATGATGAAACTGGCTCATGTCGAACGCCACTGGAAAGGAAGACCCAGAGTTACCTCTGCTGCAGAGGATAAGTTCATTAGAGTTACAAGCCTCAGAAATTGCAGCCCAAATAAATGCTTCACAAAGGTCAAGTAACAGACACATCTCAACATCAACTGTACAGAGGAGACTGCGTGATTCAGGCCTTCATGGTCGAATTGCTGCAAAGAAACCACTACTAAAAGGACACCAATAAGAAGAAGAGACTTGATTGGGCCAAGAAACACGAGCAATGGACATTAGATCGGTGGAATTCTGTCCTTTGGTCTGATGAGTCCAAATTTGACATGTTTGGTTTCAACTGCCGTGTCTTTGTGAGACGCAGAGTAGGTGAATGGATGATCTCTGCATGTGTGTTTCCCACCGTGAAGCATGGAGGTGGTGGTGTGATGGTGTGCTTTGCTGGTGACACTGTCTGTGATTGATTTAGAATTCAAGGCACACTTAACCAACATGGCTACCACAGCATTCTGCAGCGATACGCCATCCCATCTGGTTTGCGCTTAGTGGGACTATCATTTGTTTTTCACCAGGACAATGACCCAACACACCTCCAAGCTGTGTAAGGGCTATTTGACCAAGAAGGAGAGTGATGGAGTGCTGCATCAGATGACCTGGCCTCCACAATCACCCGACCTCAACCCAATTGATAGTAAAAATAAAAGAAAAACCCTTGAATGAGTAGGTGTGTCCAAACTTTTGACTGGTACTGTATATATGAATGGCAGTAAAAAAGTGACAGACAGTTCAGTAACGCTAGCGGTGCAGCAGTGTTTAGGCTCACCTCTTGTCCTTGGCCTGTCCCTTGTCCTTGTTGGAGCCCTTGGCAGGGGCGGTGACCAGGCCCTGTGGGGCGTCCCTCAGGCCGAAGCTCTTGGCGGCGTGGCCCAGGTGCAGGGCTTTGATATGGAAGATGTGCTTCATGTTGGACGGGTAGGCAGTGTACGCCCGCAGGAACGACTGCAAGGCTAAAGCAAGAGGAAAGAGCGGTGGGAAAATCACTTTAAAATGAGGACCACAAAACAGGAGCTTAACCAGCCAACCAGACAAACTGTTTGTGAGGATATTATTCTTATAGTGAGGAAGAGTTTCTTTTTATTCTGTATCCAGACTTTCCTGCTATATACTGTAATGCCAATTACCATGTTCAACAAATAATTATTCCCTTTTTTTGTCCGTTTAACCCAGCAATGTTGGGTGAAGTTGGTCCCACCTACTGTATTTGTAACGCATGTTGATTATGCATTTTACTTGATGTGCTTAAATCTGTTTTATTCCTTTGTGTTATTCCCAACGATTTCTTTTTCTTTTTTAATGTTAGGATTCGGTTAATTTTTTTAAAATTAAAATTATAAACATTTGAAAGGGGGAGGTACCATACTATCCCCACAGTTTTTTTTTTAAGCTCTCCTGCACATGCACAAGTTTTCCTTTGTCTTCAAACTCATCTTATTGCCTTGTCTTTTCTTGTGTGCAAATTTAACACACCTCTCTTGGCTGCTTGGATAGAGTCGTTGTCGTCGTGGACAACGTTCTCAAACTCAGTCTGTAGGACAGTTGCTCTTTCCCGCACCTCCTGCTCCAGAGCCCCAGAAGACTTCTACAGACACAAGACACACAAGTTACGTGGATTGAACTGACCAGAAGGGAAGCGCTTATAAGACTGGTGAAGGCTGAATATAGTCATATACAGTGAGCTCCATAATTCATTGGACAGTGACCATTTTGTTGTTATTTTGGTTCTGTACTCTAGCACTTTGAGTTTGAAAGGATACAACGATAATGAGGGTGAAGTGCATACTGTCAGCTCTCATTTGAGGGTATTTTCATACATATCAGATGAACCATTTAGAAATTATATAAGCTTTTGTACATGGTCCCCCCATTTTCGGGCATTAAAAAACATTAGACAGTTTAACATAATGTAGAATAAAGTAATCATTGTTAATATTTGGTCGCATATCCTTTGCATGCAATGACTGCTTGAAGTCTGCGATGCATCGATATCACCAGACGCTGGGTATCTTCCCTGGTGATGCTCTGCCAGGCCTGTACTGCAGCCATCTTCAGTTCCTGCTTGTTTCGGGGACTTATTACCTTCAGTCTCCTCTTCAGCATGTAAAATGCATGTTCAATTGGATTCAGATCCGGTGATTGACTCGGCCAGTCAAGAATGTTCCGCTTTTTGGCCATCAAAAACCCCTTCGTTGCTCTAGCAGTATGTTTAAGGTCATTGTCTTGTTGCTTGATGAAGTGCCGTCCAATGAGTTGAGGCATTTGGTTTTATCTGAGCAGATAAAATATTTCTGTAGACTTCAGAATTCATTGTTCTACTTCTGTCTGCAGTCACATCATCGATGAAGACAAGTGAGCCTGTTCCACTGGCAGCCATACAAAACCCAAGCCATAACACCCCCTCCACCATGTTTCACGGATGAGGTGGTATGCTTTGGATCATGGGCATTTCTTTTTTTCCTCTCCACACTTTCCTCTTTCCATCACTCTGGTACATGTTAATTTTTATCTCATCTGTCCACAATACTTTTTTTCCAGAACTCTTGGGGCTCTTTTAGGTGCTTTTTAGCAAACTGTAATCTCGCCTTTCTGTTCTTCAGGCTTATCAGTGGTTTGCATCTTGTAGTGTACCCTCTGTAGTCCTGCTGGTGTAGTCTTCTACGTATGGTAGACTTTGACACATCTACACCTGCATCCAGGAAAGTGTTTTTGATCTGTTGGGCTGTTGTCAGGAGGGTTTTCTTCACCATAGAGAGTATTCTCCGGTCCCCACTACAGTGGTCTTCCTCGGTCTACCAGGTCTTTTGACAGAGTTCACCGGTTGTTTTTTTATTGTTAATGATGAACCAAACTGTTGACTTGGGCATGGCCAGGGTTTTTGCAATGTTCCTGATTGATTGATTTTCATTTCTGAGCCTTATGACGGCCAGCTTCATTTGCATCGATACTGCTGTCTTCCTCATGTTGTCACACCCCAACAACAACCTCCAAAAGGCAATAGCAAAGTCTACAATCAATACTATTCATCAACAGCTCTCCTGCATTCACTAACGACACAAATGAATCCACCTGCCTAACGACACACATCTGTGAAGCCAATTTAACAAATACTTGTAGTACCTTAAAATGGGGGGACCATGTACAAAAGGTGCTGTCATTTCTAAACAGTTCATCCGATATGTATGAAAATAACCTCAAATTAAAGCTGACAGTCTGCACTTCACCCTCATTGTATCCTTTCAAACCTCAAAGTGCTAGAGTACAGAACCAAAATAACAAAAAAATGGTCACTGTCCAATGAATTATGGAGCTCACTGTAAGTCATGTGAAGTTCCACAGCTGGGTTGTAAAATGTGCTGAGCTTGTTGCTCCCTCACCTTGCCATCATACTTTCCCCTGACTTTGAAGCGGTCGTCCAGCATCAGCGTCGACAGAATCGTCTCCATCTTCATCTCGGACAGGCTGGAGGAACAGTTGACAACAGGGGTGTATTCATTAGTGTACTGTGCACACCGTAGCAAAATGTTTTGATGCAGAAAACATTTTGCAACAAAAACAAGTTTCTTAATTGGACAAATTCAGGTAGGTCCATTCCCTTTTCGGCCCCTATGCTTACATTTGGTTCCTAGTGAATAGACCCCAGAGTTGCACTGTGGAATGCTTTCTAAAAACAACAAAGTAAGTACATTTGGGGAAATCCAAACTATGTGACAGCCTCAAACGGGTGCTTGTTCTAAAGACGCAAAGTAAAGGAGAAAATGGTACCCTTTGACTTTGTGAGACTTTTGTAGTATGTCTTTTTTTTGCCATCTCTCCGGATGTCTCACTCCCTCGTCTCAAACCCTTTTAATAGTCCTATAGCACAGTAGTTCCAAAACAGTGGGGTCGGCAGGGGGGGTGCAGCCCCCGCCCCCCCAAAAAAATAGGACGTTTATTAATTTTTTACTGAATCTGGCTTTAAACTTACTCTTGAAAGTGGTAATAGTAGAATGCACAAGGTGCAATTTCAAAATTGGGTAGCGCATCATAATTTCCTCTCGTCATGTTAGTCATTACATACCTTAGAGAGCTATTTATAACTTGTCAGAAATGTCCAGATCAACCAGCCCATGTCAGCTAATGTTTTTTTTATTTAGGTTTTTTAGCCCATTGATAGTTGTAAAAAAAAATGTGTCACTCAAATATCACATGAATACACATTAGACATGGCAAAATGTATAGAATTGCATGAAAATGTGCTTTAAAACTGCAACATTTTCTTTGCACCCCATGACAAAATGTGTAGAATTGCATGAAAATGTGCTTTAAAACTGCAACATTTTCTTTGCACCCCATGACAAAATGTGTAGAATTGCAGGAATTAAGCTTTAACCCTGCAAAATTAGCTCCACCAACAATAGGGGTGTGAACAGTTTGTGTAATGAACAGTGCTTGTGCCCATAGATATAGACGTGGCGCATGCACGCAGGAGGGCCGCGGGATGCCCCCCCCAGCAGCAGGCTGTCATGTGGCTCGTGGTAAATGACGTTGTGAGCAGTGGCGGTGTGTGATTAATCTAGTCCTGGTAGGCACATGGCCATCGAGGGTGACAGCTCTGGCTGGCTCTGCTCAATGGCTGTCAGTGCTCCGCTTCACGGAGATCGATCAGCCCAGACGATCCAGCCGGGCATACTGAGAGCTTGGGAATGAAGCTTTAGTGTGTGTGTGCGCAAAATAAAAACTATAGAGACCACGTGTAGGAGGACAGGACTGGGAGAGCCAAGTGTCTCACTGTCTTATATTATGGAGGGTAGAAAGGTCCAAATAAGACTAATTTAAAACTTGGAGGCGCAGGCTCAGAGACCGACTGTGGAGAGAGTGAGATGTGTCACACAACCATAAAAAGGTTGTGAACATGGGCACAAGGGTTAGAGAAGGGATGTTGAGTGACCATCCACAGACCTACCTGATATTGTGATTTGCCAGGGAAGTGACATAGGTTGTTTCAGCAGGGGTGAGGAAGAGAAGGCTGCTTCCCTTAGCTCCAATACGGGCAGTTCGCCCAACGCGGTGCACGTACTCTGCTGGAGTGGTTGGAGGGTTGTACTGAAATATACACAGACAAAACACATAAAAAATGTAAAGACAAACATTTGTATTTATTTTTATTTAACCTTTATTTAACTAGGCAAGTCAGTTAAGAACAAATTCTTATTTACAATGACGGCCTACACTGGCCAACATCTGACATTTCACTTGGAATCCATCTATGGACAGTAATATCATGTTCTTATGTTATAATTTTACCTGTACAATCCACGTCACCTGAGGCAGGTCAAGTCCACGTGCTGCGACATCCTGAAGAGAAGAATACAATTTTAAAATGTCATGATTGTGATGTCATGGACCTCCCAATGCCAGCCTGACACCAACCCTCTGACTTTTAGCTAAGATTTCTAGTGGACTTATAAGTACATTTTCCTGGTCAAATACCACCGTCTCTCTCACTACAAACACAGTCGGGGTAGATGAGTGTGTGCGCGTGCACAGGTGATTGTTTGAAATGAGCCATTGTCTTTACTGGTCTGGGGGACCATTGTGGTTTGTGGCCGGCTGCGCTACTGTAGCTGATAATATAAATAAATAGCTGATGTTGGAGAGCTAGGAAGAGGGGAGATGCTGCATGGAGCTCTGGGCCTTCTGTTGCCAGTGGCAGGGCCAGGATGAGCGGTGTATTGGCCGGGCACACTGGACTGCCTGGGGAGGGGTGGAGTAGCGATGCTGGCCTGGCCAGCCAGTACAGATGGAGGCCAGTGCTGGGCCATGCCAGTCTGTCAGACGGATTAGAAGCACTTATTTATTCAGCCTCGTCATTTAGCATTTAGGGGTCTCTCACACACACATTTCATTTGTTGCCATTGTGTGAGGATATTGGTTTTGACATCGTGGGACGGGTGTGTGCCTCAGTGGCAAACAGGGGCCGATTCTCGGGCCACTCACTGCCTGGGACCTAGGGATGCACAATTTAGACCTGGTACGACAGTCATTATTTAAATCGACCCATAGAAAGATATACGGCGTGATGTAGGCCCAGGCAGTGTCTCAAACGTTGAGCTGACTTACCGTACAGAGCAGAATTCCAGTCTTGCAGAGAGAGAACTCTTGGAACACTTCTGTCCTTTCCTGTTAAAAATATACAGTTTGTTGTTGAATTTTGTACAAGTAAAAATTATTTGCCCACATAAGACAACACCAAAATCTATAAAGGGTTTTTGTATTTGTGGAGGGCAATCTGTTTTAGGTGCAGTAACAGCTGTGTCTCCTGCCATCCTCGTCACAGCAGCAGTCGTAATGGGCCCAGCCTGTGCACTCCTATTACCAAACACATCCATAATAACTCTGGTCGAGTCCCAAATGGCATCCTATCCCCGACATAGTGCACTACTTTTGACCAAAGTAGTGCATTATATGAATTGGGTGCCATTTGAGACATAGATCCAGCCTCGGTGACAGCCTCTGCCATCCATACTTCCACCTGACCCATTCCTCTTTAATATCTAACCAGAGCTTGAGCCCACTGCCCATCTCCAGTCCCACGCCCCCAGAGGTGCCATATGGGCAGCCCCCGTTGACTGTCATTAGTGGCCCTGGGACAGGGGTGAACACTGGTCAGGGCATTAGCCCTCAGCTCCTCCCCGGGTACAGCCACAGGGCATGGCCTGCTGACTGCCACACTACACCAGCTGGTTAGTGGCAACACAAGGCATGGTAAAGCCACTCTCTGACCCTGACTAACGGCAGCCTTCATTGGAAAGACTGTGCTGCTGCTACAGAGAAGGCCCTGGGCGTGATGCATGTGTAGCACAAATGTAAAAATACAACCGTCCTGTACTCCCATGCAACAGTCACATGGGCACATGGTAGGTTAAAAAGATAGTCTCACCTCCTGCTTCATGTTGCCGTGGAGACGGAGGAAGCTGAGCGGAGGCTGCTGTTTGGCTTTCGGCCCGCAGAGCACGGCGTTGAAAAGGATCAGCAGGAACTCCACTGCCTCGCAACTCGACACAAACACAATTATCTTGTGGCCCTTCTCAAACTGTGGGGGTGAGAGAAGATAAACACAGCCATGATATAAAATGGGACAAAGCGCATATCCTTTACTTTAGGGATGCACATTTCAGTCACTTTTGCTGCTGAATAACTGAAAATCATTAACCAGTTAACAAAACGGCAAAAATAATTCTAAACAGTCAAATGACGTGACCAACAGAAAATACTATTAGAGATCTGTATATAATGACGAGATGCTTATTTTTTTCCATTAAGAGCTTAATGGAAACATACGACAATAGCAAGCCTATCGTCTTACAGTCAAAATGCTATAGCCTATTATTGAACATGCAACTCCTTCAATAAAGCAGAAAAAAATAATATATTTTTCAAACATTTGCCAAAATGCAATTCGCAGGAAAACACCATTCTAAACAGCGCACCTAATGCGAGTGGTTCAATATTTGCCAGATGAAAATCTCTGTTAGAAACTTAGAAAGAGGGGGAATCTATAACAACAACTATGATGCGTTGGTAAGCTGACTAAGATTGTGCCTTTGGTATCAGGGCAACGAAAGAAAGTTGATATGAAAACCAATAGAACAGGAGAGAAACACGTGATTGCATTTAGAATTGTTGCGCAATGACTGGACTTACAAAAAGCCAGTTTCAATCTAGTCTGGCGCAGTCTGACAGGTGGTAGGATATTCCCCTCCTCAAACAATCGGGGTGTTGGCTATCTGCGTGTGGACTGTGCATTCTAGGGTGAAGTTTATCCTAGGCACAGATCTAGGACCACCTTCACATCCCCCAATCCTAATCTCAATCATTAGTGGGGGAAACGCTAAAACTGACTCAAGATCAGATCAGCATCTAGGGGAAACCTCACCCAACACCAGCCGTGCTTACCTTGCACTTGGACAGGATGAAGGCGGCTAGGCAGACAAGCCTTAGTTTGCTGGGCACCACCACCATGTGCTGTTGCAGCCTCTCGGGTACGGCAAAGCAGTCCGATTTGCCCTGGGCTGTGGTGGGGTCCGGGGTCGGCTCGTTGATCCCCTCAGAGTTCTCCCCCACCTGGATGCTGACCGGCTCCTTCATGCTGATCCCAGCTAACCGGGACAAGCCTGCCATCACAACATTAATTATAACACAGTGAGATAAACAGTAACAGTGCCTTCACTGTGTGTGTGTGTAGGCCAGTGACACAATCTCAATTTAATCCACTTCAAATTCAGGCTGTAACAACAAAATGTGGAATAAGTTAAGGGGTATGAATACTTTCTGACACCCCTGTATACGCATCTCTATTCCAGACACACACGAACACATTGACACGTACAGTGTTAGTGGCGTCATACATTGTCTTGTAAGAGATCATACAAAATGTGCAATCCCAAGTCCATAGTCATATACAGTGGGGAGAACAAGTATTTGAACAACTGCCGATTTTGCAGGTTTTCCTACTTACAAAGCATGTAGAGGTCTGTAATTTTTATCATAGGTACACTTCAACTGTGAGAGACGGAATCTAAAACAAAAATCCAGAAAAACACATTGTATGATTTTTAAGTAATTAATTTGCATTTTATTGCATGACATAAGTATTTGATCACCTACCAACCAGTAAGAATTCCGGCTCTCACAGACCTGCTAAGTTTTTCTTTAAGAAGCCCTCCTGTTCTCCACTCATTACCTGTATTAACTGCACCTGTTTGAACTTGTTACCTGTATAAAAAGACACCTGTCCACACACTCAAACAGACTCCAACCTCTCCACAATGGCCAAGACCAGAGAGCTGTGTAAGGACATCAGGGATAAAATTGTAGACCTGCACAAGGCTGGGATGGGCTACAGGACAATAGGCAAGCAGCTTGGTGAGAAGGCAACAACTGTTGGCGCAATTATTCGAAAATGGAAGAAGTTCAAGATGACGGTCAATCACCCTCGGTCTGGGGCTCCATGCAAGATCTCACCTCGTGGGGCATCAATGATCATGAGGAAGGTGAGGGATCAGCCCAGAACTACACAGCAGGACCTGGTCAATGACCTGAAGAGAGCTGGGACCACAGTCTCAAAGAAAACCATTAGTAACACACTACGCCGTCACGGATTAAAATACTGCAGCGCACGCAAGGTCCCCCTGCTCAAGCCAGCGCATGTCCAGGCCCGTCTGAAGTTTGCCAATGACCATCTGGATGATCCAGAGGAGGAATGGGAGAAGGTCATGTGGTCTGATGAGACAAAAATAGAGCTTTGGAGGAAGAAGAAGGATGAGTACAACCCCAAGAACACCATCCCAACCGTGAAGCATGGAGGTGGAAACATCATTCTTTGGGGATGCTTTTCTGCAAAGGGGACAGGACGACTGCACCGTATTGAGGGGAGGATGGATGGGGCCATGTATCGCGAGATCTTGGCCAACAACCTCCTTCCCTCAGTAAGAGCATTGAAGATAGGTCGTGGCTGGGTCTTCCAGCATGACAACGACCCGAAACACACAGCCAGGGCAACTAAGGAGTGGCTCCGTAAGAAGCATCTCAAGGTCCTGGAGTGGCCTAGCCAGTCTCCAGACCTGAACCCAATAGAAAATCTTTGGGAGGGAGCTGAAAGTGTATTGCCCAGCGACAGCCCCGAAACCTGAAGGATCTGGAGAAGGTCTGTATGGAGGAGTGGGCCAAAATCCCTGCTGCAGTGTGTGCAAACCTGGTCAAGACCAACAGGAAACGTATGATCTCTGTAATTGCAAACAAAGGTTTCTGTACCAAATATTAAGTTCTTATTTTCTGATGTATCAAATACTTATGTCATGCAATAAAATGCTAATTAATTACTTAAAATCATACAATGTGATTTTCTGGATTTTTGTTTTAGATTCCGTCTCTCACAGTTGAAGTGTACATAGGATAAAAATTACAGACCTCTACATGCGTTGTAAGTAGGAAAACCTGCAAAATCGGCAGTGTATAAAATACTTGTTCTCCCCACTGTATACTCCATATGTAGATGCACAGTGACGCTAAACATTTTCATTTGGCTCTATACTCCAGCTATTTAGATTTGAGATAAAATGTTTCTTTCATATGAGGTGACAGTACAGACAGTATTTGTAGGTATTTTCATTCATCCATTTTACCATTTAGAAATGAAAGCACTTTATATAGCTAGTCCCACCCCATTTGAAGAAGTCATAAGTATTTGGACAAATTCAGTGTATTAAAGTAGTCAAATGTGTAGTATTTGGTCCCATATTCCTTGCACTCAATGACTGCATCAAGTGTATTACTCTACAAACTTGTTGGATGCATTTGTAGTTTGTTTTGGTTGTGTTTCGGATTTAGCCTGTGGCATGCTTTCCAGGCGAAACAGTTTGCGCACATGACAATTTCGTGCCGTTTTTGTTCATTTTGGTGTTCGGCAGGAGGGGTTTCGGCTTTTCGCGCAAAATAATGTTTTACTTGAGGCAAGTCGAAGTTCGGTAGCCAAAGTCAACGCCCCTTCGCCGGTGATTGGTCAACAGTACTACTCCTAATAGGAGTGGGTACTATGGACGGGATTCTTTTATTAATATTTTTTTGTCATTCAACAAGAGATGACTAGTTTTCATGCATATTTTCTAACTTGTGAAATACTGCACCAAACATCTTAGATCAAAAATTGCACGACTAACACCTCCTCTGCAAAAACGTCTAAATTAATGATAGACTTCTTGATTTATCTCAGATTAATTCAGATTATTTTTGAGGAAGCGTATACTGGCTATGTTCTTGCTATGGCGTCTCAAGGAGGGACAAAGGTACGCCGTTCTTTTCTTGATTTTCAAGCAAAGGTCTTTTAAAGGGAGTATGCGAGGCACAGACGTTTGCTTTGCCTAGTTCTGCTAGGAGCAAACCAAACCTATGTATGAGGATGCCTTTATGTTTTGCCCAAAAGGAACTGAATGGTGAATGACTGGAGTAATTGTATTTCTCAGTGAGTAGATTAGATGTCTCTGAACACTTTAAATTAATTCAGACAATGCCATGATTAAGAGAAGTCAAATGAAGAGAAGCTCCATGTAGTACTGTGCACCTCCCATAGTCGGTTCTGGACTTGGGGATTGTGAAGAAACCTCTGGTGGCATGTCTTGTGGGGTATGCGTGGATGTCTGAGCTGTGTGCTACTAGTTTAAAAACAGACAGCTCGGTGCATTCAGCTTGACAACACTTCTTACAAAAACAAATAGTGATGAAGTCAATCTCTCCTCCATTTTGAGCCATTGACATGCATATCATTAATGTTAGCGCTCCTTGTACATTTAAAGGGCCATCTGTGTTGCCCTGTTCTGAGCCAATTATAAGTTTGCTAATCTTTCCAATTAAAAAAATAAAGTAGTTCGCAATATCAGTGGGTTTTGTGGTGAATGAGCCATCTAATTCAATGAATGATGGAGCTGAGTTTGCCTTTTTGCCCAAATTTCATTTTAAAGTGCTCCATAGCTTTTCACTATCATTCTTTATATAATTTCTCTTTGTTTCATAGTATAGTTTCTAATTTGTATTCAGTTTAGTCACAATCTCAATTTGCAGTTCGTTTGCCAAATCGGTCGTGCAGCCAGACTTTGGTGACATTCCTTTTGCCACATCCCTCTGAACCATACCATTTTTCAATTCCTCATCAATCCACGGGGATTTAACAGTTTTTACATTCATTTTCTTAATGGGTGCACGCTTATTAGTAACTGGAATAAGCAATTTCATAAATGTGTCAAGTGCAGCATCTGCTTGCTCCTCATTACACACCACAGACCAACAAATATTATTTACGTCAACATAGGAATCACTACAAAACATATTGTATGACCTTTTATACACTATATTAGGCCCAGCCTTTGGTTTTCCTAGATGTGGCTACTATATTGTGATCACTACATCCAATGGATATGGTTACTGGTTTCAAGGAAATTTCTGCAGTATTAGTAAAGATGTGATCAATACATGTTGATGGTTTCATTCCTGTGCTGTTTGTAACTAACCTGGTAGGTTGACTGATAACCTGAACCAGGTTGCAGACACTGGTTACAGTTTGAAGCTCTCTCGAGTGGGCATCTTCATGAAAGCTAGTCAATATTTAAATTACCCAGAAAATATACCTCTGTTGACATCACATACATTATCAAGCATTTCACACATTATCCAGATACTGACTGTTAGTACTTGGTGGTCTATAGCAGCTTCCCACCAGAAAGGGCTTTCGGTGAGGCAAATGAACCTATAGCCATATTACTTCAACAGTATTTAACATGAGATCAATCTCTAATCTTTACAGGAATGTGGTTCTGAATATAAACAAGAACACCTCCACCATTGGCATTTCTGTATTTTCTGTAGATGTTACAACCATGTATTGCTACCACTGTATCAAAGGTATTATTCTAAGTGACTTTCAGAGATTGTCAGAATATGAATGTCATCTGTTACAAGCAAGTTATTAATTTCCTGAACTTTGTTTCTTTAGCTACATATGTTATTGTGGGCTATTTTTAGCACTTCTCTTCTGGGATTTTTTTCATTGCTTTACTGGGAAGCTTAGCAAAAGTACAGTGCATTCGGAAAGTATTCAGACCTCTTCCCTTTTTCCACATTTCGTTACGTTACAGCCTTACTCTAAAACAGATTATTTCCTTCATCAATCTACACACAATACCCCATAATGACAAAGCGAAAACAGGTTTGTGTACATTTTGCAAATGTATTACAAATTAAAAACAGAAATACCTTATTTACATAAGTATTCAGACCCTTTGCTATGAGACTTTGTCCGTAGAGCTCCGAGACAGGATTGTGTCGAGGCACACATCTGGGGAAGGGCACCAAAAAAATTCTGCAGCATTGAAGGTCCCCAAGAACACAGTGGCCTTGATCATTCTTAAATGGAAGAACTTTGGAACCACCAAAACTCTTTCTAGAGCTGGCTGCCCGGCCAAACTGAGCAATCGAGGGACAAGGGCCTTGGTCAGGGAGGTGACCAAGACCCTGATGGTCACTCTGACAGCGCTCCACCAATCAGACCATCATGGTAGAGTGGCCAGACGGAACCCACTCTTCGGAAAAAAGGCACATGACAGCCCGCTTGGAGTTTGCTAAAAGGCACT